GGGGCGGAGAGTGGTCCCCCCGGCGCGCGCCAGACCCTGCCGGGGGGGTGCCATCCCTGCCTCTCCCTGCTCCCGAAAGGAAGGAAACCAAACTGGGGGCAATGCCACGATCCCTGCCCATGCCCACACCCCTCCAGCTCCCCTCCCACTGAGCAGGGCTGGGGGAGACCAGCCCACCCAGGGGACCCTGTCACCCCCTGCTCACCCGCTGGCACCCCCTGGCACCCAGCCCCCACCGGGGTGAGCTGGGGAAGCAGCACGGCAGCATTGGCGGGGCGGAATCGCCGGCAGCGGGGAGAGCCCCTCCCCATCCCAGCCCCTACCTCCCTCCCATGCACCGCCACGGCCTCCCAACCCCCCCCCCGGCACGTACGGTCCAGAGTGCACGAGGATGGAGCCCACTTTCTCCACACCAGCTTCCTTCAGGTTGGGGCAGGCACCACTGAGCTCATGGCACCGGCCCTGGAAGTTCTCCTGCTCGAAGATGGCGATCTGGAAGAGAGCAGGGGCCTCAGAGCAGGGCACGCCGCCCCTGGCACCGGGGCGGGGGGCACACGCTGTCCCCGGCCACCGGCTCAGCAGGGCCTTACATCGGCTGCAGCCCAGACCTCATGCTGGCCCCCAAAACCTGCACTTCAGTGGCTTTTAATGAGCCTGCTAGCACGAACCAATGTTTCCATCCCTCTGAGCTGGCCGGCGCCAGCCCAGCGCCCTGGTGCTGCTCGCAGAGGGATGCCTGCACTCGCACCAGGCTTCAAATAGCTGAGCAGCCCAGGCTCTGGCTCAAGCATCGCAGCCGCCGGCGGGACACAGCACGCAGGGCACCCAGCACACACGGGGAGGCACCAGGGCGGCCCCGGGGGCCGAGCGCCACCAGCTCAGCACAGATTTCATGGGTCAGCGGGGCGGTGGGGGGCAGATCTGCTGTGTCTGCAGAGGTGGCGGGAGATTAGGAGTTGATCCATTCCTACCCGCTCCGCCTGCACCGGGGCTGTGGGACGCCAGCAAAATCCCATGCATCTCCCACCCTGCTCCCCATCCCCTCACCCCTCTGCAAACAGCTCAGCATCATGGCCGGCGATGCTCAGCACCAGCCGGGAGCGCTGTGGGGTGCTGGCGAGGGGCTGCATGGCGGCAGCTCAGGTGCTCCCAGCCTGGGGGGGGGCCCCGGGC